TCCTGCATGTCCAGTTTATACAGCAACAGTCAGTCTAGGCAAGAGCAGTTTCTTGCCCAAATGGCTAATCTTGCCATGTTGAAAGCAAACTCCATAACGAGTTTCTTCGATGCCCATTTTCCTCTCATAATTGGTGCTGCCAGGAGCAGACATTTCTCATTGTCAAGAAAAACCCTAAACCATTTTAAATGCCATTTTCTGAAGGTCTTTAAAAGGTTTGAAGACTATTTATCTGTCTCAAATACATCGCTATATATCTAGAAAACCTAACTTACCTAACTATAAATTCTGTTATAAGTAACTATCTATAGTCTGTATTCAATTATGCATTACATTTTAAAAGATCAGTATAAGCACAATACTTAATCAAGAGGAGAAATATACATATCACAAAATTGACCTTGAATTTGTGTCAATAAATGAAAAACAATACCCATCCCATAATTCCCTTTTTTACCATTAAAAAGATTGGCTGTGATCATTAGCCAATTATAAACAATCCCATTTAAATGAAAACAAAGATTTATAAACAAGATGGGAATTGGGACATCGCTCATTCCAAACTGCTTCCTGCTGGAAGGGGGCGCTGTTCACACCATGGGGATCATGACAAAACTCAGAAACCTTTATAAGTCCGCATTTTCAGGGTCTGTAAAGCTGCATCATCTTAGCTGTCTCAATAGTTGGAACACCTGGTCCACTGCTTCTGGGGGTCTTGGTTCGTCAAACCACAGAAGTCTGGAAGGAATCCTCAGCTTTTCATTTTCTGTGGAAACATAAGCAAAATCTCCTTTCCCAAGTACATATCCTTATACTTAAATTTTGAGGTCAAGGCATTTTCAAAAGATATAAGTTGAATTAATTCAGCAGCATTTATAATCAAGTGTACTTCAGTAGCTGTTCCTTCCTTAGCAATGAAAAAACTGAAAAACATAATAGCGTACAGTATCCAGACTCTCTGTGTATTTTCCATCTTTACGTGGCTTATTTATTAATCTATTATTATTATTACTCAATTTCTTTCGCTTTTATTTATTTTTCTCTGAGACAGGGTTTCTCTTTGGAAATCCGCCTACCTCTGCCTCTGGAGTAAATCCTACCGGCGTGCGCCACCACAACGCCGGCTTCTGTATTTATATACCACTTTGCCGTTTCATTTTCTCTCTCAATCTCACGTATATTTTTAAACACACTGTAAACCTTTAGAGGTTTTCCTTTATCCAAGTCTGACTTTACTGTAAATCTTTATGTTTTTCTGGCCACGTGTCTTATCTGTAAAACCACGGCTGTTTTAAACTGCCGTTTCAAGATGGCGGGCGTAAGCGTGACTCCAGCTTACCGCCTCAGTCCATGCTGACATCCAGCAAAAGCTGCCACTTCCAGCTGTACGTACACACCTTTCAATCGTTAGCAGAGTCTCTTAAAAGAACCTTGTTGGGTTTTTTTTTCTTTTTCTTTTTTCTTTTCTTTTTATGCCGAGTCAGGAAGACTCCAGTAAGCGAGCCGCGTGAATCTCGGCTTGTCGCTAGCAAAACAGAGCACACCTGAGAAAAATGCTGCTACCAAAATCTGTGCTTCTCTCAGTTCTTCTGTTTCTAAAATTCCTTTAAAGCTTTTGTTGTTTTGCGTGGAAATTCAATCCCACTCCTGACAACCATTCTGTTACGAGAAGCTTTTTCTTTGCTACCCGCTTTGGTTTATCCCCCGCCAGCAGCCTGGGCTCTGCAGCATTGTAGTCCCCAAATAACACACAAGACGCTGTATTAATTATGAAGCTGTTGGCCTTGCTTGTTTCTAACTGGCTAGCTCTGACTTAAGTAATTACCCCATAATTGTTCAGATTATTGATGCTGTTAATTTTGATCAAAGAAGCTTCTTCATGCAATGAGTACCAGTTGCTTCAGAGTCTCATCATTGGCCATTGAGATGGAAAATAAATGCCAGTTAATGTTCAGTCATAAACTAAACATCTTTATCACCTGTACCTTATCTCACAAGGCTCAGGGAATATCATAGCACAGGGGTATCCTAGTTTGTTTTCTATTGCTATGTTAAACACCATGACCAAAAGCAACTTTGGTCATCATGAAGGGAAGTCAAGGAAGGAACTCAAGGCAGAAACCTGGAGGCAGGAACTAGAATGGAGATCATGGAACTTTCTCTCCATGATCCACTCAACTTGATTTTTTTTATGCGACAGAGAATCATCTACCCAGGGATGGCACCATCCACAGTCAACTGGACCATCCTATGTCAGTCTTTAATCAAGCAAATGTCCCACAGACTGGCCTACCAGCTGATCTGGTGAAAGCATTTTCTCTATTGAGGTTGTCTATTCCTAGATGACCTTGACTGGTGTCAAGTTGACAAAACAAAGCAAAACAAAGAGTAACCAGCATAAAGGGGAAGAAAGAATGCAAGAGGTGGAGGAGGGGGAAGAGTAGTGTGGAATGTGGATGGGTAGGAATGGACCAGGTGATTACTGCATAAGATCTGTATAAGACTGGACCTGCCAACATCCTGCCATGGAACAGGGAGGGGCTCATCACTCTCTAAGGATTTATATGCAGTTAGTGGGTGCTGAGTGAGGGAAAGACATATTCTTCAGTAGTGTAGTCACTGGTAAGGTGCCTAAGCTTCTGAAAGCAACCCTCACCCATTCTCTTATGAGAGACCCTAGTATAACTCTCCATATCATCAAAAGACAAAAGAAAGCAGGTGAAAACTTCAGGGTTATTAGTTGGAAGAACAAGGGGGTCAATGGAAGTGGGAGGTGGTATAAGAGAGTGTAACTGTGAGTGGATATAATCAAAGTGCATCATATGAATGTGAAATGTTATAAAGGAGGGGTCCATTTCTTGTAACTGATATATGCTCTAAATGGATTTGAGTCTGCCATGGTTATGTCTGTACTGAACATGTGGGCATGCTTTTCCTTCATCTTCATTCCCTAAGCAACACAGCATGACAATTGTTTGCAGGGTAGTCACATTTATTAGGTTTTCTAAGTTGTCTGGAGATACATTAAAGTACATGCAAAGTAGATTATATGCAAACATCATACCATTTTATATAGGGGATTTGGGTATCGGAGAGAGGTCGTGATTGATTGATCCTTAGGACTTGGTTCTTGTGATTGTGGAGGATGACACACCCAATTTCTGCAGGGTTAGCTGGTGCAGCTGGGTGAGTAGGAAGCTAAACATGAGGGATTCAAGGAAACTGCAGCTGAATCTTGGGAGCTTGTCCCCTGGTCAGGCAGGGAGTTGGGAACCAAGGGAATTAACTGCACAGGTTTGCATAGATGTCTCCTGATAGTAAGAACTCCACTTGGTGGTCAATCATATCACTTTACATTCTTCCTTCTATGTAAAACACCGAGCCACCTGAGCACTTTCTCTTACATTTTTGGTTGCGAGCCTAGCCTTTAACGGCTGAGCCATCTCTCCAGCCCGAGCACTTTCTCCTTTACTATGTATGTGCAACAGTGAGGGAATCTGCATCCTCAAAAATAAAATCTGATCTCATAATATCATACGCGTTTTGGTCTTGCTTGTCAGGTTTTTAAGTACCATGGGAAGAATTACCCTGTAAAGTGAGCTTTGATTTCCCATGATGTGGGAGAAAAGGTTACCTCAACCCCATGAATGTGACACCCACTTCATAAGTATTTATAAACCTTCGTAAACCTTTTCAGTGCTTGGCTTACAGGACTGGCCCTTATTTGGGACTGCATATTCCATTCTCTCTTTGGAGTATACACTTCACTTTGTTTTGCCAAATAAATGCTTGCTTAAACTATCTGTATCTCTATCTTAAATTCTTTCCTTGGAGAAGACAAGAACTGAGAAGAAAGTTTCACCGGGTAACACCAATGGCTGGATGGAGACTTGGGGACCCAGTCCAAAGGCAGACTTCTCTCTCCTTAGGAGAGATCAGTTTTTTTCCATCAAGGCATTCAACTTGTTGGATAAGGCTCTCGAATTTATAAGGTCAGATGCAAACATTAACTTTGTCAAAAGTATCTTCAAAGAAGCATTTCAAACTTGGACCGACCAAATGTATGACTGTGGATGAACTCTCACAAACCGCTTCAGAAACGTCCCTCAAAACAGGTTGAAGAAGGTGACATTCTCATCTCAGCACTCTCATGGGTGGCCTCCCTGGGACCGCATGACTTTTGTGTTCCTTCATTACCGACTCATCTTGGGATTCCTTATCCACCTTGCATTCCTCACCACTGGAAGCAGCCTCCTCATCTTTCACAGTTCAGATCAAATGTTAGCTCAGCGAAACTTTAATACCACACTCCATCCAGAAGACTTCCTTCTGTCCTGTACGTCTGTGTCCGGGCTACTTTACATTCATACGTTGCCCCACTTGCATACCAAACTGCTGGTCAGCACACAGTGTAAAAGTATAGGGGGGGGGTTTCCTGAAGGTGGCATCTGTTGGGGGGGGAACTACCTATCCTAGGAGGAACACAGGGAAGACATTAGAACTGGGAAAGCTTAGCTCAGAGGTGGGGTACCATAAAGATGAATGACCTCAGGTCACTGTTGGCCTGGTTTTGATTTACCTGAGCTTGCTGGATGGGTTGCATGGGCAAGAGACCCTGACCCAACAAGAAGGGGCAACAACTGTTTGCTGCTGTCCGTGTCTTACTTAACTGTCACAAGTGTCTAGAGGTGGGAAATTTTAAGATATTTTGATTTGCTTTGTTAGTATGGATACTTAGTCTAATAATGTATCTTCTGTAGTTTGTTGTCTTTGCACAGTTTCTGTCATAATTAAACTAAGAAGTTTATATGATCTGAAAATAATATGATTCTGGTACCAGACTTACTAGATTACATTCCTCATCTCACCAAGCTATACAACTTGTCTGTACCTTGATTTTTCCATTTGTCAAATGGAGCTAGAATGGCTCTGGTTACTTGAGAATATGAAGAGGGTCTAGCTGGTTAACAGATGGAAAAGTCTTGGAATGGTGTTCAGGCCTGAGCTGTTGCTCAGTTGTACAGTACCTGCCTAGTACAGGCAAAGCCTGGATTGATTGGCACCACCAGGAAAAAGAAAGAAAAAAGAAAAAAAGGAGCCAAGTAACCAAGCAAATAAGCTAGTGCCCAGAACATAGTGGCCACTCAGAATCCCACAGTTACTCTCATTCCTGGTGTTATTGTTGCCAATTGTCTGTCATGTGGATATGTTATTACTTCTTGAGGATAAGGACATGATCATAGTTTCTTTGTACAGCTCCAATACTATAGAGAACAAGCTCTACCGAGTCTTATTGGAGTATATGTGACCTTGTTTGCAGAGAACCATGCTTGCAGCATCCCCAACAGCACCATTGGGACCTCACAACAAAGCCTGCAAAGTTATTATTACCCGCTTTTGACAGATGAGGGAACTGAGAATCAATCAATAAGTAAATTGTCCAGTGTCAGACACAGCTGATGAGTGCAGTCTCCAGTTCAGCTCAAATGTCATCAACAAGAAACACCCTGGTCTTTTGGGAGTTTCTCCTTTCTGACCCAGCCCCCCTTTAGTTCCGCCACAGCCTTCTTGTTACTACTAAGAACAGGGACATTGTGGATCAAGAAAGCTGGAAAAAATGAGGCCCCCGTTGATGTCACAGACTAATTAAGAGCAAGGTGTGCGCCGGAGTCGGTTATCAGTATAAGATGTCCTCGGGAGTAACTGTGGCCTCTTCCATTTTAGTCTTGATTTCCGGGAGAGGAATTTGACTGATTGCCACCACAACCAAATTTGCCGCGTGGGCCGAGGCGCTGGCCACGCATATCCAAAATGACTCTTCATACTGTTCTTCCACCACGACAAACTGAAAGAGCCTCTCCTGGAAGTTGGCAATTCTTTCTGTCAGGTCGTGAAATTTCACCGCAGCCATGAAGCTGACGATGGCTAGCGCCACGACTCCACCTGAAACCCAAAATAGCGCCTTTACTTACTGCTCCTCTTGGCAGTTTTAAGGTCCCTACTGAGGTGGCACTTCTGTGCCATGTGAAACAAAATCTTTGGGGCTTTGAAGAATTAATGCAGCAACACACATTTGAAATTGTGTTAAAAGCTGTAGATAAGCTGTATCTACTTTGATACACAGTATCAAAGGCAAGAGAGACAGCTGTCTGAAAAGAAAATAAATTAATGACAGATGAACTTGAATTTGCATGCCTCTCACTCCTCTTTCCAGAAGTATCTCCTTTAGAGGACCACTCTGTATTCACCTTCTGCCTTGTATAAACATGGTGAGCGATGTATAGGAAGACATAAGATCCAACTTTGAAGGGTGAGGTCTCATCCTCCGACTGCACTGCTCAACAGAAGGTAGAAGGTAGGGAGCAAACTCTGGAATTCCAGACCTCATTTATCTCCCTAGCAATTGATCAAAACTTTGAATTTGTTTGCTGAGTGCCTTTCCCATTTTATTTCAAATTGACAATCAAAAAAGACATAATAAACTGAATTTGGTAGTGCATGTCTGTAATTCCAAGACTTGAGAGGCTGAGGCAGGAGGATTATAAGTTTGAAAACAATTGACACAAAGAGAACTGGGGGGAGGGAGGGACGAAAGACTGGGCAGGGTGGTGCTTGCTTCTAATGCCAGTAGTTGGGAGGCAGAGGTAGGTGAATCCCTGTGAATCTGAGAGTAGTCTACATAGAGGTTTCCAGGCCAGCCAGGACTATGTGGTGAGGCCCTGTCTTAAAACACAAAAAAATAACAAAACAAAACCCTACCCTTAGTGGTGTGGGAAGACTCGCCACTCACACCTGTAATTGTACCACTTGAGAGACTGAAACAGGAGAACCACCATGAGTGGAGTTCAGACTGGGGTTATGGGATATGTCATTTGGTAAATATGTTCTTCTCATTGGTTAATGAATAAAGCACTGTTCGGCCAATAAGGCAGAATGATAGGTGGAACTGGGGGACAAGGAGAATTCTGGGAAGTGTAGGCAGAGAGGAGTCGTCATGTGATCCCAGAAAGAGAGGACATGAGTGAGGTATTCTCTGGTAAGAGAAGACCATGTAGAAATACTTAGACTAATAGAAATGGGTTAATAATTGAGACAGAGCTAGCCAACAAGAAGCCCTAACCGGCGGCTAACATTATTATAATTAATATAAGTCTCTGAGTGTTCATTTGGGCCTGATGCAGTTGTTTGGCCAAGGCTGGTGGGAAAGAGTATTGTAACACTGGGGTACATGTTAAGATCTGGTCCTTAAAAAACAACAGTTCCACCCTGAAGGCCAGTTTTACTTTGTACATATTAGTATATTTCATTCTTTTTAATACAGTTTAAAACACTCTTAATTTGATTGTAAATTTGGTTTCTTTTCCATTCACTTGAGTATTTCCCTGTACCTATCCTATAAGGCCATGACTTTAAAAACATGTACTGTTTTATTCTGGAGCCTCTCCTGCTTTTTAAAATGATGGTTTTGCTTCTGGGATTGTAGATGATAGAAACTGCGGCAGTGATGTATCTCTGTGTTTTTTTTCTTCCATTTCCTTACCATAAGCCCAGTCTATGGGATTCTTCAAAGAACAGCCAAAGGCTATTTATATTTTTATTCATTTTTGACAATTTTTCTTTTGATCACCTACTTGTTAGGATCTCATCAGTGGAATTAGAGCAGTGGTTCTCAACCTTTCTAATGCTGCGACCCTTTAATACAGTTCCTCACATTGTGGTGACTCCCCAGCTATACAATTATTTCATTGCTACTTCATAACTGCGATTTTGCTACTGTTATGAATTATAATGTAAATATCTGCTATGTGATTCCAAAAGGGTCACAACCCACAAGTTGAGAACCACTTAATTAGAATCCTAGGATTCTAGACATGTAGACTCTATGGAAACAAGTATTTATTTAATGAGTAGGACTGAATACTTTTTACCATGAGAATCTGTGCAGAGGTACAACACCTGCAGTCCTGGTGACTATACAGGAGAGTTAGCCTTTATACACAAAAGCAAATACATAGCAATTGATGCACCCAAAACCAGTACCTGTGTTTATACTTTGTGGTCCTCTTATACAAGGGTAAGGAGGTGAGAGATTATTGCCACATTGGAACCTTGACCATCTGATATGTGTTTTCTGAGGCAGTCCTTTTTCCATAGGATTTTGTTATTTTCATTATAGATGATGTATTAAGTACATAACTAAAGGTAGCTCTTACTTTCCAGGTGCTCACATAAACTATGTGAACACATACTCATACACTGTCTCTTTCAGCAAAGAAAACATTCCTTTCCACTAAGGTTTTGGACCCAGTGAGGTGCATGAGAAAGGGTGGAGAGTAAATATTTAATTTCTTCATACTTTCTTTTTTTTTAAAGATTTTATTTATTATGTATACAGCATTTCATGTATGCCTGCAGGCCAGAAGAGGGCACCAGATCTTATTACAGATGGTTGTGAGCCACCATGTGGTTGCTGGGAATTGAACTCAGGACCTTTGGAAGAGCAGCAGCCAGTGCTCTTAACCTCTGAGCCTTCTCTCCAGCCTTTCTTCATACTTTCTATCCAACTACTCATGTTACAGGACTTAATGGTCTTAGAGGCCATTAAGGGTGGATCCTTTCCCTCATGGCCAGTTTTGGACTTCCTCCCTCCTGATTGTCTTTGGACCCTACCTTCTGTTTCTCTTGTAATACTGGAAAGGGAAATTCTCTTTAGGAACTAAATGCCCATATGGATGGAGGTACCTTGTTGAGACCCATTAAGGGAAAGCTACTACTTCCCAATCAGAAGAATAGAATTTAAGTTCTGCCTCTAGCCCTGGGTGGAGATCTGCCATTCCAAACCCCCCAACCATTGCATCCCAGTGTCCTTTCTGTTTAAGAGTTAATCTAGCTGGGCCTGTCAATTACCCTACTAGGGGTCCACCCTTCCAAGCACCTTAGGAAATCTGACTTACATGTGGATGTGCCAAGGGGGTGGGAGGAGTAATTATCCCCTTTATGAGACAATTCACCCACCTTTCTCCAAAGCCCCTTCTTTGCTGCAGCCACGTCTACAGCCTGCCGGCCCTTTTGCAGAATCTAATTTTCCCAAAGTTCTCTTTAGCACTATTAGATTCAGTGTCCTAAGTATGCTTTAGGGGACACTGTGGGCCTCCTCACTCATTTGCTGAAGTTCCCCTCCCCTTTCACCATGCAGCTTACTGACCTCCAATGCTGAAGCTGCCTGCTTTCTTGAAGTCATGGACTTTCTCTTCTCCATCTCCCTCATCCTGGCAGTAGCCAATACTTACAGCTTGTCTGCTCTCTTGTTTTTTTTCCAAATCCAACAAAAATGCCCCCCTTAGCTTCCTTCTGGGTCTCTTTCTAAATTCTTCCATTAACAAGATTAAGAGTCTAGACAAGGAACTTTAGGATTTCCTGGTTAACACTTGGGAGGGCAGGCTGATGTGGACCCCAGTTTCCCTCCCTTGGGGGCTTCTTACCTGCCAGGACATTCCAAAGACAGATGCCACCAGGACCATTGACTGCTCTGTAGGGGACCTGAATGATGTTGAGAATAGCAAAGCCCATGCTGACCAGAGCCAGGGCCAAGGCCAAGAAGAGGAGTAGCAGAATCGTGACATGGAGGCTTGCATTGAGCTCCTTCACCAGATGTGGGAAGACTGTGGGGAGAGAGATGGTATTTCAAGGTCAGAGTGTGGCTGCTTTCACAATGCCAGCACTTGCTTATCCCAAGGTCAGTAAGCAGAGGGTAAGGGAAAGACAAAAAAATGCTGGGTTTTCAAAAACTAAGAGACGCCCTGAGATGGGTCCATGGACTCCAGAGCAATCGCTTGTTAGTTGTCTAGAAATCTTCGTTGTGGTGGTGGGAACACAAAATCTGAAAGTGCCCTACAGTGGACATTACACTGACCCTGCAGTCGTGGGATCTGATATAGACTGCTTCACTTCACATAAGACTCAGGCACTAGCTGGACAGGGTAGATGTTACTGTTGCAGAGTATCCAGGATGCTTAAAAATGCACGTTGTATAATACTTCATGAAAACATCAATTTTCCATATGAGTGTGGCAGAAGAGGTTGTGAAATACCTGTCTGCACTTGTTTCTCTATGTCTGCCACTGGTGCTACTAGAAAAAGTGAAATGATACACTAAGAACATTTCAAATATTTCCCTGGACAATCTGTTCTCAGAAATAACACCTGTGAGTATTGTTGTCATTATTTGTACTCTCTGACTTGGGAAAGGTGTGGGGCCTTAGTGGGAAGCTAGCAATAGTTTGTGTGAGAGAGAAGGGCAGTTGCCTTTTGCTGAGCACAGTTATGGGCTGAGCTGTTTGGAGACATCATCTCAGTCAGTGATCATGATAAGGCATCTGAAGGTTGTCGACTCCCTTCACCCACAAATTTGAAGGCATGGAGCTCATGTCTTTAGGTAAGGCAACCCTGAACTATATATGGAAATTAGAGTATATATAGAATAGACAGTCCTGTGTATCATGTGGTATAATGAGTTTAAAGTCAGTTTTTAACAATTCTATGTAGAAATTTAAAATAGTAAATACTAAAAAATTCCTTAGCAGACTCCAAGGTTGGCATCTCTCAAGCCTGAAGATTAGAGGGTATTTTTATTATTTTAGACAAAGTCTCATTATATAGCCCTGGCTGGCCTGAAATTGGCTGTGTAGACCAGGCTGGCTGAACTCCAACTCACAGAGATTCACCTGTGATTCACTTCTGTCTCCTGAGTGTTGGAATTAAAGTATGCATCACCATGCTGGACGGGAGTGAGAGCTTGTGTTCTCTTCCCTGCACTGTGGCATTCCCATTAGTAACTTCCCAGACACCACCTGCATTTACATCCTGGGTTCTTTTTTTTAATCTTATTACTTTTATTTTAGGTGAATTTTTGTTTTGCTATGGGTGTTGGGTCCCCTAGAACTGGGGTCACAGATAGCCATGAGCTGCCCTGTCAGTACTGAGAATTGAACCCAGATCCTCTGGAAGAACAGTCAGTGCTCTCAACTGCTGAGCCATCTCCCCAGCTCCCACATCCTGGGTTCTTATTCAACTTTCTTTCCAGTCCTGTGTTTTCATTTGTCATTATCTCTGCATGGTCATCTAACTGGCTTTGGAAACTTTAGCTGGGAAGATGGGCTCCTTTCCAAGGAGTTTGCTTTTTCTCAGTCATTGTTTTTTCTTTTGTGTTTCCATTCCAACTCCCTTCTTGAGACCAAGAATCCACTTTTCAAACCTGGAGTCTCTTCTTATTCCAGACACAGTATCTTATACCTAATTGTCAGTCTCATTATTCTTATTCTTGATCATGCCATCCTTAGGACACATGACTAGTATGGTAGTCCTTACTAAAACCTTAAAATGCAAAATAGCCACTCACATGATTGGCAAAATTTAAAACTTCTGTTGATGACAGTGTAGAAAAAAGGTACTCTCGAAGTTCTCAGTCCTACATCCCCATTAAAAGGCAACATGATCAAAGGCAACATCTATCAAAGCAATTTCATTGCTAGTCATTGTTGTCCAGACCAATGCATTCAAAGTTGTGTGCATACATTGACTGTTCATTACAATAGCAAAAGTTTGGAGATAGATTAATTTCTCCAGTCAACAAATTGGTTGAATATATTTAGTTATGAGATCATAATGCAGATTTTAGAAAGAAGCAGCCACATGCGCATGATGATACGAACCTCTATTTGGAGTTGATTAAATGAGAAATTGAGAACCATTTTGTGATGATAAAGAAGACAGAACCTGGGGCACAAAGAGTGATGTGGGAAAGAGGTAAAGAGTACTCAATCCACAGCCTCCCACTGAAGTGTCTTAATTGTACAGGCAGGCTATTGGCACCGGGTGACTCTCTTTCTAAGGTTCGCATTCATGCATGTTACTCCCTGCTCAGTTTCTTCCAGGGAACTAGGTTTTAATTGCCTTTTCTATGTCACTGCTTAGAAATTCAAGTCTTTCTTTAGGAGTTTCAGTTCAACAGTTCTTCCCACTAGGTCCTTCCTTCCTCCCTCCCTCCCTCCCTTCCTTCCCTTCTTCCTTTATTCCTTCCTTTTTTTCTCAATCCAGGGTTTCTCTGTGTAACTCTGGTTGTTTTGAAACTCATTGTGTAGACCCTTGAACTCAGAGACTGGCCTTCCTCTGCCTCCTGAGTCCTAGGATTCCATTAGTTTTTGAGAGGAACTGTACATTTAACTGTCACACTTGTACAGACTCCAGAAAGCTGTGGCTCACTCCTCTTTCATGCTTGTACCATTTCCAAGAGTTTTAGGCATCTCCAACTTAATGAAGTTGAAGTTGATGAATACAGTGAATCCATTGATAATCGAGTACAATCTGTGTGTAGGCGCTTCATACACATTCTTCTTTGTCTATGTCTCCTTCCTGTGTGTGTGTGTGTGTGTGTGTGTGTGTGTGTGTGTGTGTGTATACATATGCATGTGAGGGTTCATCCATGTGCTCATGTATGTGGAGGCCAGAGATCAGCCTCAGGTTGTTCCTTAGATGCTATCCACTTTGTTTGTTGAGAGATTGTCACTGAAACCCGAGGTTCTCCAATTAGTTCAGGTTTGCTGGCTAACAAATCCTGGGGATTCTCTCATCTCTCCAACCCCAGCATTAAGATTACAATGGTATGCCTCCATACCTGGGTTTTTACATGGTGGTGGGCATCGAACTGAGGTCTCCAGGCTTGCACAAGGAGCATTTTGCTGACTGAGCTTGCTCCCCAGGTCACCCTCTCTTATTCTTGCAGATGAGCAGATGAGAAAACTGAAGCTCAGAGAAGTTAAATAGTTTAACCAAGACAATTTAGCCAGGAAGTGATGCCTTAACTATTATGCTAAACGACTGGTAGGAGAAAAATAAAAAACCTTAGATAAACAAGAGTTTAAAATTTCTGGGCAGTGGTGATATGTCTTTAAATTCAGCATTTGGGAGACAGAGGCAGAGGCAGGCAGATCTCTGAGTTTGAAGCCAGTCTGGTCTACAGAATGAGTTCCAGAACAGCCAGAGCTGTTACACTGAGAAACCCTGTCTCAAAAAAATGTTTAAAATTTTAATCACAGTGTAGCTTAAATTCTAGAAGGCATACTTTAAATTTAAACTTTTTTAAACATAAGAAGCAATACTTTGCTTGGATATTATTCTATCAGTATTTAAACTTGGATGATTTGTTTGTTCCTGATTCCAGAGACATGTGATCTTTTTCCCTGGTGAGACTAATAAATAATCACAGGCTTGGAAGACAGACCCAGGCTTTAGCCCTTGGGAAGATAATTCTGGAGTAAGATGTAGGGAGAGGACTAGAAGGCTAAACTGCAACACACTACTGTACTTAGGTAAATTCACAGAAGTTATTTCATGTGTCGATTTCTCTAATTCCCAATTTCTTCTTTAATAAAATGTCATCATAAAATCAGGATAGAGGAAATGAACCACAGGGATGGCTTCAGAGATTCTCTAGTGACTAGAATCTAGTCCACATATGCTCCATGTCTCCCTTGCCACACAGCAGGCTTCTCTGGGCAGGTGTTTGTCTGCTCTGTTCATACCTCTTTTCCTGGTGGTACCTGGCTTGTATGTACTCAACAGTACACTTGTAACATGCCTTTAATTTAATGCTTGTTGCTTTCTTTCTGCAGCCACTCCAGCATTACTTTTATTTCAGAAGGTCTAGCTATAAAAAGGACCTTAGTGGTTGTTGGTAGAAAAAGTCTTGGTTTTCCCATGACTAATGTGGGATTTGAGTCTCTCAGAAGAGTCTCTGTGATGGTGAAGAAAGCTGTTTGTAAATGAGACTCAATGGAAATTCCCTAGTCTAAGGCTTACAAAGGACTTTCTCAAGCTCCTCTCTGCTGATTTGCTTAGTGGATAGGGAATATATTTTTTTCTGTGGACCTTCAGAAAGTGGGAACTCCTGTTAAGGGTGGGAAATACAAATATACTCCAGGGCTACTTTGAGTTACATTGTATTGGACTTGAGAGCTGTGCTTTGAAGGGACTTAGATCATCTCTAGAGAGGTAATAATACACATAATGTCCCTACAGCATGTGATCGCAGGAAGAAGGTGCACTTCCAAGGTACTGTGAATGAAAAAATTATACATCCTCTGGCATGGCCTGAGAGCAGCTGAAAACAAAACATTATCAAATGCTGCCTGACTCACAGATGAAAATGAAACACCTTCTCTGCATCTCACACATTTTTGATGCTCAAGACTAGATCACACTAGAGGAAACAGGGCTGGTTCTCGAAAGGAGCAGGAGAGAAAGGGACATTTGTTGAGTTTTTCCAGAGGGCAAACAGAAGGTACTCGTTCTTTTGGCTTCCCATGAGAAGCAGTTTAAGTTTTTGGGAGCTTGAGGACGCCAGGGCCTTAGCATTCAGGTACTACCAGCACATTAGGGGACACTGGCACATGGCTGCCCTGCCATCCACCCACATACTAAAGTTTTGTAAGTGTTGCACAGACATACCAGGAAGCCAGAACACCCAGATAAAAGTATCATTGTCATGGTCTCCTTTTAACACACCCTTTTCTTTGTTTATTTGTATGATTATTTTCAAGTTCTACTTTTTGGTGCATGCGTGCATGCGTGCATGTGTGCATGTGTGTAGTTTGCCCATCTGTGTGTGGGCTTTTGGAGTACCAGAGGAGTACATTGGCCATCCTACTGTATCAATCTCTGCCTTATTACTTAGAGATAGGGTCTCTCACTGAACTCAGAGCGGTGCCGACAGCCAGCAATCTGTCTGTCTCTACCCTTGACAGCACTGGAGTTACAGGCTTGCATGTGACCATGCCTGAGCCACCATTGGCCCCCTAGATTGTAGTAGTAATGGAGTTATTTCCCCAATACATAAGGTCCATTTTTAATTGCTGGGCAAATATAAACATACTCAGAGATTTTTTCTTTATAAATATAATGAACATGTCTTTCTTTTCTATATAGAAATGAAGACCATTTGCATTTTTTTGTCAAGGGGTACAACATTATATTTTCTGTATTTATTTAGTGAGAAGCATGTACTGGCCAGGTTTTTAAACATTACCACAAGTTCTGAGATATAGAAATAAAGTGATGGGTGAGATTCCTAATCCCCATGTGCTAATGAGTCATTGAGTAACTATAGTTTTGTAGGACACTATTCTTACTAATGATCTAATTGTTTGATTGTTTTGCTTGCTTTGTTTTCTCTTTCCTAGAGTATCTTTTTTTAAGCCTTTTTTGGACTCCAACCTTAAGTCTTCATGGTTCTACTTTGTTCACCCCTGAGCTCTGAACTCAGGCCATTGCTGCTGGCTGCTCATCTTTAAACCATCAGGTGCCTCCCTCAGTCTCCCTGCCAGAAAACGTGTCAGCCACTCTTCAGACCCAAGAAGTATGCTCCTAGTAAAGTCCTTCTCCTATGCACCAGCAAAGTCCTCCAGCTATGAAACTTTCACATACATGGATGTGGGAGCAGTTACCATGCTTCCTGGAGGTCTCTTTCTGCTGGCAGTCTGCACCTGTACATTGTTGTAGTGTAGACTACCAGAGTCTCGTGGCATGGTCTGGCATCTGGCTCTGTTGATTCTCGGCAGAATGAGTGACCTCAGGTGAATTATGTAACTTCTAAAGCCTCAGTGTACTCTGCTGAAAATTAGAGCATTCATTATGCCTTCATTATAATTGTGTTGTAAAGCTTGAAAGAATCAGGCAATGTGCAGCTTCTAGCGGGATTCCTGACACTTGAGCACTTGATATTTTACTAATCATTACTAGATGTAAACTACAAACTATACAAATTCCGACTTCTAGTATTTTTGTTTATCTTTTTTAGAAAAGAAAGAAAAATTTTCTTTGCATTGCTACACAGGAGCTGTTGGCTGCCTAATTACTTTGATGTCATGTCTTAGATAGGCAATAGTCGATCTCACTTAGACATAAGCACTCCTGCAAAACAAAAAAAATGCTCCAATATACTCACATGCCCCAATATACTCACTTGTAAATTGGGACTGGCGGCCTCCGAGCCCACACTGCCGTATTTTACAACCTCGGAAGAGCCCATAGTAAATGTCCCCGATGAATTTGACCAGTTCTGGGTCTGAGGCATTGACCAAATCCACTCCGGTTTGACACAGGATCTTCCCACTCAACCAGTGGGGCACAGCCAAGGCGACGATGATCAGGAGGAAGGAAGAGAAGCTGAGTAGAGACGCCAGCCCGTACCACGCCTTTTTGAACCATCCAGGCATGCTAGTGAGCGCAGATCATCCCCCAGGACTCTGGGCAACAGTTGGGCAAGTAGACATCTTTCAGACACTCAGCAATAGCCTGCTCCATACACATGAACTCAAGACTTCCGGCCCATCTCCTCATCCTCTTTCAGTGCCTGCCTCCAGAGTTTGTGTTTACTACGTGCACATCCCCAGCCTCTGCAGATGATGTTCCCCTGACTCTGTACAGCAGAGTGTGTTACCCAAGGAAGTAACCCTATATCTCCCACTGGATTAGAGTTTCAACAGAGGCTTTAATTGTTCCTCTGTTCAAGTATTTAAGTCACCATGATGTGGGCATCATAATGACAAGACAGTTATTACCAAACAAACCCAGGGAGAACTGCTGACAAAGGATGCTAACTAGACTTAAAAAACAAATTCGCATGGCAGAAACAAAGCAGAAATGGACCCATTAGCACTCACATGTGCTAGCGACAGCGTGCAGGATCAAATGTCTGATCTCTTCCAGGCATGCCCTGGCATTTCTTTCTCTAAAATGTCACTGCTGTCAGAATCCCCGGAGCTGTTTCTAATACCATGAATTGATCTTGGTTCATAAGGCTTAAACTGAAATGTGTGAATTAGAACTGTATGGATTTGTTGCTGGATGAACTGTAACATGAAATCTGTTGTGACTGTGAGGCAATCCTATCCCCTGCTCCCACTTTTCCATGGCATCCGACATAGGTCAGACACTTTTTTCTTTTTCTTTTTGTACATTATCCCAATGCATCTCAGACCTTAAATTTGCAGTCCTCCTTCCTCACCTTCCTGGGTGTTAGGATTGTAGGAGTGAGGCTCCTGCCTGACTGAGAAGTAAAATTCAAGATCTATCTATCTATCTATCTATTCATTCATCCATCCATCCATCCATCCATCCATCCATCCATCCATCCATGCATCTATCCATCCATCTCTGTTTATCTGCCTATATCTATCATCTATCATCTTCATCTATCTCTATCTACCTAATCTGTATCTATCTATCTGTCTGTCTATATATCTGTCTGTCTGTCTATCTATCTATCATCTATCTGTGTATGTTCTAGGTATTTCATTGATAACTTCATACATGCATATTATGTTACTTGATCATATTCTTCACTAGTTTCCTGCTCTGATCCCCATCTCACTCCCTCTAGATCCCTTATTTCTAGAAAGTCTCTCTGCTTCTTCTTTTTAATCTTTAGATCCCAGGAATGCGTCATTTCTATTTTCCATCTTATACTGTGGCTTTTAAAATTGTGACTTTTACTGTATTGTTGAATATCAACTCAAAGGTCCCACAAGACTGGCAAAAGCCACTCTGTGACTACTGTGGGGAGCAAAATTGGGCCAAGGCAGCACAGCAAACTTTCCACTGTTTCCTGTATCTGGAAGGGCTTCTGAAGTCATATTGTTCGTCAGTAGGAACCTGAGACTCTTTCTTGGAGTCATGTGGATATGTTAAGGAAGTGACAGGATCCCTGTTCATGAGGGGACTCACTACAGTGGCCTCCCCATAATGGAAATAAAAAGCAGTATTCCTGAAGCTTATGAGGAGCTCTGCCAGAAAGCAAAGGGCTTTACTGTATGATTTTGCATCTCTGTTACTTCGGCAACTGTGTGGACCAGGCTGTTGTTTGTCTTATCAGTAAAACAATGGTGGCACTGAACTGGACTATAGTGGCTTATCTTTACCAAAGTGGCCTGGAAATAGATAATGTTTATCTGCCAACCAGTGACACAGTGCATGTAAGATCCCTTGAAGGCTATTTGTCATATTAGTATATGGCAAATAATATTAGCTGACATTCTTGTTTTAACATTAAGAAAATATTTAGAAGGCAGGATGTACTTACCTTGGAGTTGCGGGTCTGTGTTAAATGATGGACTTATTTGCCTATATCAACTTTTGATGTTGTGAGGGTTTTCAGAAAAAAACTCTCTGAATTAACACCTGAGTGTTAGCAAGCTCCTGCCATGCTTACTGAAGTGCCGGTTGAGAGGATCTCCAGCTATTGGAGACCAGATTCAAAGTCTCTCTCTTAGGATGGTGTTTGAGACTCCCATGCCTTGTTTTTACAGCCAGCCACAGGATTAATGTGTGTAGAAAAGTGAACTTACACACACAGATTGCTTAGAACTGCCTGGCATGAGGAGGGCACTAGATTAATGTGCCTTTTCCCTCCCACGAGGTTTCTCAACAGTTCTGCTTTGGATAATACAGCTCCCGAGAGCTGAAAGTTCTGCCAGCCACATCCTAATGTCCACTGACACAGGTCGGCAGGTCTTGACAGTTGCAGGTAAAACTGTGTCTGTTGTCTCCAAGGCAACCTGTGGGCTGCAGGTTCAGAAAGAAGTTCAATATAGTATCTGTTTCCAAAGGCTACAACAGAGACAGATAATGGTTCTTAGCTAAGGGCGATTTTTATTCCTCAGAGGATCTTAGGCAATATTTAGAGTGTTTCCCCCCCCTCATTCCACTCAGCCCCCTGGCCCCAGGGATTGGACTTAGGTCCTTGGGCATGTTATATAAGTGCTCCATCACTGGGTAACATCATTAACACTCTTTTTATTTTGAAACAGGGTCTCGTTAAGTTACCCAGTCTGGCCTTGAATTCATTCTGCTCTCCAGGCAGGCTTTGAGCTTGTGGTCCTCTGGCCTGAGCATCTGGGATTCTAGGCTTGAGCTACCAGGCCTGGCTAGAGACGTTTTGATCTTATGACTGAGGGCAGGGGCTTCTAGGGTTAGAGTCCAGAGATGCTGTGAATACTGTACTCATACAGGACACTGTCAGTTCTGGTTATCTGATGCTTAATGTCAGCCATGCAGTTGTTAGGAAACTCTTAATTAACCTGCAGGTGGGAGGTGGCACCAGGATCTGCTGGGGATAGATGATATCATTTGGTGGGTCTCAAATGTAGATCTAGGATATTCCTTGCTTAAATGAAGCCAGAGAGGTGTAAGGACAGGCCTAAAACTTAACCATAGCTAAATTTGTGCCCTTACCAGACCAAAGCCTGTTGTGCTATATACTAATACTATTTTAAATATAGTAACAATTCCCCATCATATTCTTTGTTTTAAAGGCGTTGATTCCAGAAATGGAAACATTTAAACTACAGAGCACTAAAAATGTCATTACTGTTTTGGCAGATTTTCACTTTTAAATGTGTCCCCAGACTTCTAAGAGGCTCAGTGAATTTTAATAATCAGTGCTGATAAGACTAATACTGATAGCACGCACTGCTCGATGTACCTTTTACCCTTTTTTCTCCTACTCTAGAGGCACAGGCTATTAATCACATTTTATTAGCAAGGAAACTGAGGCACTGAACAATTGAAGGAGGTACTTAGGCCACACAGCTGTTAGGCAGTGGGGCCAACCAAAGTTCATACTCTTATTTGGGAGTTAAAATATTTTAGGTGGTCTGTTCGTGTCAGCAATTAGTTTGACCCGCTTGAGTCCTGCAGCAATTGCACAACTGGGGCTTAGCTTAGCGCTCCAAAAAGATCGCTGCCTGAGGGCGGAACTTTGTAGCGTCAGGCACCCCAGACAAAGCTCAGGGCTTAGAGCAGGGAATAAGGCACCCATGCCGGCCTACAAGCGAGGGCGGGCCACAGGGCTCGGTTTAGAGCACGCGCCTAAGCTAGCTATGCTCCTATTGGCTCATAGGCGGCGGAGGCTGGGCAGATGGGCGGGGCGCAGTAGAGAGCTTTCTTCGCGGGCTGAGAGTCCACAAACTCACCGAGGGGAGGCGTGGTTTATTGTATCTCAGCTTTAGGGCGGGACAAGTCGGGAATCACGCGCTCCAATTGACGCACTCCTATTGGCTAAGGTGAGAGGCGTGGCTCTGCAATGGCTCCGTCTCCGCCTCGGGGCGGAGCTTCGGGGGCGGGGCGCAGGTAGGGGCGGGCAACCTTCTCGAGTTCCTGGTGGTGCAGCGGCAGGCTCAGCCCTGCGATCCCGCTTGGCGTTCCGTACCGCGGGAGCCTGTCAGGAGCAGGATGGCGGCTTCGGGCGAGGCGCGCCGGGTGCTGGTGTACGGCGGCAGGGGCGCGCTGGGCTCGCGCTGCGTACAGGCCTTCCGAGCCCGCAACTGGGTAACGCTGCGGGACGGTCGCTGCGAGCGGCAGACACTCGCGGTAGGGGGTGGGGGAAACTGCCGGCCCTGTGCGCCCGTGACTAGGCTACACTCGCATGCATGCTCCGGTCTGTTCTCGGCCACAGGTGTCGGGCCTTTGCCCTGCTAAGAGGGTGTGGTGTAGTTGCTCCCTAGGCCTCCTCCAGGCCCAGAAGGTCCAGCGTGACTCGGGATGGGAGAGGAACCAAGTGAGCGAAATGGGAGGGAAAGGGCAGAAGGGAGACTCTGGAATTGGGCTGCCCGAAGTTATTAGCCCAGTGACCTTGAATTGATTAATATCCTCTAGCCTCAGTTCCCCGGTAAAATAAAATGACAGTGATGTTCTGTTTACTCTTGGGTCGGTAGTGGTGGTTAAATGAGCTAACAGGTTCTTACCTTTTAAGTGCTAGCTGTCACCAGTACTGCAGCTAATATTGTTACCAGTGTTGCTTTAGCCCTGTTTGACCTGGCGGTCGAAGGCTCAGCCCCGCAGTTGCTGACATCTTTGCTTAGTTAAGGATATTTCAACTACTTTGCCTCGTCAGGTGGCCACTCCCAGAGGACAAGTGGACACAGAGCTGATCTTGGTCCCAGCCTGTTAGCAGGGATCAGCACAGGAGACTTGAGTCAGCCCCTGGCTTGGAGCACCTACCTACCTACCTGGGAGTTTAGTTAGCAGAAGTAGTGGCCTGGGCAGGAGATCCTCTGAGACCAGAGAGAAGGGCCCAGAATTTTGTTCTGTCTTAAGAGTGATACAAGGGTAATACCATTATCTGTTTAGAAGCCTGGGGTGTCTTCCATCATCTGTGAAGATGGAGGGTGGAGACAAAGGCAGCACTGAAGGTGTGGGCTTTGCCTACCTCAACTGGGTCCTGTACTCTATCAGTTTCCTCTGACTCTAACATCATTGATTACCCCCTCCACTCTGCTGGTCAGCTTTTAGTGTCACATCGACAACCTAGAGTTACCCTGGAAGAGGGAACCTCAGTGGATGAATTGCTCAGATCCAGTTTGCCTGTGGCCGTGTCTGTGAGAGCTTGTCTTGATGGGCGATTGCTGTCAAGGACTTGGCCTGTTATGAGTGGCATTATTTCTAGGTAGGCAGGCTGCGCCTTGACTGCATA